CCTGTCACTTAAATCCTCAAAGCTTTTTCTTTATTTGAAGCTGCAGTAGCTTTTTGGCTTTTCCAAAAGCCTGTGCTGCACCTGTAATGCATATATATTGTACCTGAAACCTATGCAAAGTGACTACTTCTCACAGTAACAATAGTAGAACTCACAAATGGGAATAATTTGGGCTTTCCTTACTGATAAATGCATTGGCACTCCTTGAGCTGGAGTCATCTACAATATAAATGGGACAGTGCTTTGTAGAATCCTACTACTGCCACAGACGTCTCTACAGTAAACTTGTGAAAACTGCCATAGTTGGATACTCCTTTTGCATTCCTTGCCAGATGACATCTTGAACAAATGTCTGGGAAAAAAATAAATCTAAGCAAAATAGGAGCGAACAATAATAGTTCTACATTTTTATATTAAATGTATTAAAAAAAAAATTTTTTAAGTTTTTTCTGATGCCGTTTTGTCCGAGTCCGTTTTGTCTGAGTCCGTTAGTTCTGATGCCGTTTTGTCTGAAGTCTGACGGTTTTTTTCCTGACACCCGAGTCCGTTTTGTCTGAGTCCGTTAGTTCTGATGCCGTTTTGTCTGAAGTCTGACGGTTTTTTTCCTGACACCCGAATACGTTTTGTCTGAGTTCGATGTTTGATGCCGTTTTGTCTGAAGTCTGACAGATTTTTTCATAAGACCTGAGGATGTCCTAAAATGAACACCGTACTACTGTTACGGCTTTGAACAAAAGATCCTTCGTCTTCATTAAATGTTTACTATGTCGGTGCATGTTTGTTTTGTGCTGTTGTTGATTTTGATAGTCCAGTATTTATCATGCACTGGTCAGCAGAAACACGACTGCGGTCGTCCCTTTGCCAGTTTTCTTGGTACTCTTATCTGTAGGAATACCCCGTGTTCAGCCTTTTGGAAAATGTCCTGTTCTGAATGTTATATTAACTCAGTCTGTGTGGCAGTTTGTCCTAGAGTGACACTGACGCCCACAGATCCCCTGGTGGTGGGCAGAGGGAGTGGCATCTTGGCGATCTGCACTGCCGCCGATGGCCTTCCGGAAGCAGAGGTGTCATGGCGCACAGACCAGCTGGATGGCCCAGTTGAGGTCATGAAGAACATGACACAGAACCCCGACGGCACGACAACTGTCAGGAGTCACCTGCTGGTGACCCCCACCAGGTCCATATATGATCGAGAAGTGCAGTGTGTGGTGAAGCATTCGTCGCTGGAGCACGATGAGATCGTGCCACACAGGATCTCTGTGCACTGTGAGGATTGATAGGATGCCAGACCCATTCCAATTAGTCCAGTGTTTACAGTATAATTTATTTTAGACTTTGAACATTTTTTGATGAATTAAACAAGAAGACAACCCTTTGTTCCATGCTGAAAAATACTTATGATCGAGGGTATGAATGTTTCCTCTAGATGCTCCACAGTCCGTGAATATAACTCTAAATGCAACGTCATCCGAAGGTCCAGTCTTCCATTGTGATGTAGATGCCAATCCTGCACCTACGAGATACACCTGGAGAAGGTAGAATATTGTCTTGTCTTACATGTCATTCCAAAGCTTTTAGGAGGTATGTTCAGTGAAATCTGTGTGGGTTGTTTCTGTAAAGTTTGTAACATTTAGATTAATCATTATATTAATGTCTAACAGGCTTCTGTTATAGATGCATTTTGTTCGCTTTAATCGTTCTAATTGTTCAGTAAGTCTGCATTGAGATGTTTTGATAGATTTTACTCCAGTATATCCAGCGACTGGTGAGAAATGACGGCACAGAGGTGCAGTGGTTAGCACTGTTACCTCACACTTCTGGGACCAGGGATCAAGTCTCCACCATGGCTCCATGTGTTTGTTCTTCCTGTGTTGTCGTGGGGTTTCCTCCGACAGGTTATCTGACTAAGCAACATATCCTGCTTTGTGGAATTACCCCCACAGTTGAAAAACATGCTGAGGCTAATTGGAGTTGCCGAATTGCCTGCATGAGCGAATAATGTGTGCGTGTGTCCTGCGACGGGTTGGTGCCCCATCCTGGGTTGTTCCCTGTCCTGCTCCTGCAGCCTCTGGGATCGGCTCCAGACCCCCCCCCCCATGACCCTGAATAGTACAAGTGGCTTCAGAAAATTGATGGACTGTTGATATCACATGTGACATGGTGCATTGCAACAGCAATAAAGGGTTTTCATCATCATCATACTGCCAGGAATTTTTAAAACCAAGAAGTAATTTGTCACCCTTGAAAAACATCTTTGGTGTATTCAGTACAGTCATATGAAAAAGTATGGGAACCCCTCTCAGCCTGCATAATAATTAACTCTACTTCCACCAAAAAGATAACAGTCATTTCCTAGGAACATCTGAGTGCTGGGGTGTTTTCCGAACAAAGATTTTTAGTAAAGCAGTATTTGGTTGTATGAAATTAAATCAAATGTGAAAAACTGGCTGTGCAAAAACTTGGGTACCCTTGTAATTTTGCAGATTTGAATGCATGTAACTGCTCAATACTGATTATTTGCAACACCAAATTGGTTGGAGTAGCTCGTTAAGCCTTGAACTTCATAGACAGGTGTGTCTGATCATGAGAAAGGGAATTTAAGGTGGTGAACTTATTGGGCTTCCCTTTGACGCTCCTCTGAAGAGTGACAGCATGGGATCCTCAAAGCAACTCTCAAAATCTGTTGATCAATTTTTTATTTTATTTTATTTATTTGTTTCATTTTTAGCACATGTAAAATATTGCAGTGGCTGAGCTGGCGGAAGAGGGGGGACAGATTAGGAGGGGGCAGAAAAAAAATCAAAAGAAAGAAGTGAACTGGAGAGATTTTGTATGGAAGAATGATCTAACGTACCTCCATCCAGAACCCAGACACTCATCAAAGGCTATCGGAGGCGTCTAGAGGCTGTTAACCCTCTCAAGGCAGGCGTTGCTGATTTGCAACAGTTACAAACTAACTACCTTATTACCCCACATACATATTTTATGAGTTTTTTTTACTCAGAAGTACCACAGGACTTGGTTGTCCTGTCCTGTTACTAAAACTTAATTTGAGCCTGAAAGGGTTAAATTTGCATTGATGTAATATCTCTGTTGGGGTGCCCAAATTTATGCACCTGTCTAATTTTGTTATGATGCATATTGCACATTTTCTGTTAATCCAATAAACTTAATGTCACTGCTGAAATACTACTGTTTCCATAAGGCATGACATATATTCAAAGGAAGTTGCTACTTTGAAGGCTTAGCCAATGGTTAACAAAAATCCCAAAAAATTAAGAGGGATTCCCAAATGTTTTCGTGACTGTATTTGTTTATATTTTTGGCCTTTGTGTTTATGAGTAGTAAAGTATTAACCCTGTTTTTCACCACTATGCTTAGAATGAACGGTGAAGTACTGAGTCCTTCGCTCAGACCGGTCGGACACAAACTGTTGTTTTTAAAGATGGACGCAGATCTGAACGGCCTGTATGTATGTGAGGCATCAAATCAATATGGCCAACTTACTGGGACCCTCTTTGTGTATATAGGTAAGGATCAGTACAAGCTATGTCTAGACTGTACTAGTAATAGTAATACACTACTGATTTAAGTTCTTGATGGAAAAACTATGTACTGCAGGACACTTCAGATAGTAGGAAAGAAATTCTTCTTTTCACAGATATTTCCCAAGACTACAGTGGAGGTCTTCTTGCAGTGATTGTGGTCTTATTTTCTACTCTCAGTCTCATGATCATCTATACATGACACTACAGCAGAGGTAACTTCATTTGAATGTATCCAGCTGAGATGAGCATGCTTATGAATCTGAGTATAAGTACATAAGTACACCTCTTATGGTGCTTTTCCACTGCCACTAAGAACCGAGACGTACCTGAGCCATATGGCCAAGAGACGGTTTTCCATTGTAAATTATGCAAGCACATCTGTGAGAATCGCTGTACTGTTACCATCAAATGCTAGCAGAATTAGCATTAGCTGGCAAAAATTTGCATTACGAATCCATTCCTTTCATCAGTTCTACAGAACATTTTAAGGAAGAGGTTGGAAATTTATTGATCCAATTGATTTGATGCCTCAGCCGACTAAACCGAGCTGGTTGCATCACCACCATCTGATTGGTCGAAATGCACAGACATACCAGTAGACTGTGCATGGATTATCTGATGAAAAAACATATACAGTGATCCCCCGCTATATCTTTGATTTTTCCCCAATGCATCACAGTTCTCTGCGTATTGTATACCTTGCTTGTGATCCGATTGTTTTCGTTTTGTTTTAAGCCCTACGATGGCTCCCAAGTGTCCTGCATCTTCCTTCTGGCCTTCTGGTACTAGTGATCCTAAGACCTTGACCATTCAGGAGAAGGTAAAACTCCTGGATATGCTTCTGGAAGGAAAGCGTTACGTGGACGTCGCTTGCCATTATGGCTTGATCAATGGTACAATACATCAAGAAGGAAGAAAAGAATATATAAGAGCCATAAATGTTTTTATTTTTATATATTCCATTACGTATACAGAGAGAGAGATGTGTGTGTGTGTGTGTATGTATATATATATATATATATATACACACACACACACATATTATTATTATTATATTACTCATATCCTTAGCCCGACATTCACATGTATGTGTTTTAATAGGTTTGCATGTGTTTAAAGCGTGTCGGAGGGGTATTTTAAGGCTTAAAACTATAAAAAATGCTTATTTATATGGTCTTTCTATGTCGCATCTTTCTATTTGTATATATGTTGTAACGTGCAAAATTAAAGATTAAGCTTTAAAAAACTGTTTTGGCCTCTTCAACATATTGTTCACTGATGTATACATCAGTGCAGTACATTGTGTGAAATTCAGATATGCAATGAACTACAGTAGTATGGTTATATTAGTAGTAATGTGTAAATCTTAAGCATACAGTATTAGTGGGCTTTCATGAGTCATAGTTTATGTGAAGTGTAATGCATTGCTGGTATGCATGTCGGCTGTTTATTGTGTAGTGTGGGGGATGTACAATACTTCCCTTAACGCTTTGTAATAGACTGCAGAGAGATCACTCGCTTGCTGTGATGTGGACGTATATGTTACCATCTGCATCAGGGCTAGAGCGTTCAGTGACCACATTTAATGTTCGTGGATTGATTGCATGTCAGTAAAGAGAAGATAAGCTTACCTTTGTTGTCCGGAACTTCATTGCTTAAGAGCAATCCTTGTTAGACGAACCTAATGATATTAAAACTCAGTTTGAAGTTTTGTTAGCTGCTTAAAATTCTGATTGATGGTGCCTGAAATATGCATTCCAACTTCAAGTTGACTCTCATCTCTACAAATTAATGAATAAATTAATAATAACAAAAAAAATGAACTGTCTATGCACACAACATGCATACCCAAATAACACAGGCCAGCCTCAGCAGCTATTTCACCCAACTGTGCAGAAACTTTATGGAAATTTAACCTGGTGTAGCTCATTAAGTCATTGCTTTGCAAATAGCTGTCATAAGGGCCCCTTCCCAGCATGGCCACTCGCTTTGATCTGGGTGCTATGCTACGCCTAAACAGCGCCGTGGCATGGACCATAACTGCAGAGTGCCAGATGGTAAACCAGGCCACACCATGTGTCCTGTATCACGTACAGCTCTCTAAGGCTTAACGTTACCAGCTAAAACAAACAAACAAACATACTGCATGCTCGAATATAACATACCAGTAAGAGAACATGATATGGGAAGCCCGATTTCTGTGCAGTGCTTTAGCAGGAAACATACTATGAAAAACAACATTCAATATGTATTGTGAGCATTTTCTCATGAGACATCCTGCCATGTGAAAACAGACTCAACATCATCAAGGGTCAGTTCATTACCAAATGTGCAGTTTCGTGGAATTCTACTGCACATCTCATGAATGATCTCAGATGTATCTTTCAGTTCATCTAACTCCATCCCCTCTAATTATGTGTCTGTTATAATTATGTTTCTTCCCGTTATGTAAAATAGTTGTCCAAATTATGTTCTCACCTTTCATCACCTAGTTGATGATTAACACGTTTTTCATTATACCTATACTGAGTGATAGATATCCAAGCACTGAATTTCAGAATAAATGCAAGATCACTTAATACAGGATTTTTCTATTCCTCTGTAATATAAGCTGAGTGCTATTTAATTGAGGGGCAAAAGATTCAATTTTTTAATCAATTGCTTTTTCTTAAGTTAATGTTCCATGTTCTTGAAGGATGTATAATTAAGCAATAACATACGAGTTGCACTCCAATATATCACGGCTGTGGTCGTAGGCAGGAAGCCAGAGTACCGCAATCAGCGTAAACAAAACCCAGACATATGCCCTTGTTTATGAGTCAAATTGAGCATTTTCATTTTCCTGACCCAGTAAATACTGTCAGATTATCGTAACCTTATATGAATAGCACTATTTGCAAATGAGTGAGCAATCAAGACTGCTTAGTGCAGGGGTCTCCAACTCCGGTCCTGGAGAGCTACTATCCAGTAGGTTTTCTATTATATTTGGCTTCTGATGAGCCACACCTGCTCCTGGTATTTACCTGAGAACTGGTGTGGTTCATCATAAGCCAGGTAGGATAGAAAACCTACTGGATAGTAGCCCTCCAGGACCGGAGTTGGAGACCCCTGGCTTAGTGATTTAGACACTCAAGTCAGTGACTCTTGTTCTTTTTATTCCCCTTACAAAGTTCTAAAATTTAGTTTCTTCCTATATATAAATTTGAAAACGGGGGTGTTTCTAACTATCGAAAAGATCAGGGGCTTTACCTGGGGTTCGACATCTATTTTGTTTATTTATTTAGAAGTAATGTTCGAGCCCCGGTTCCTCCTGACCCCATCGAAGTGTCCTTGAGCAAGACACTCAACCCCAAATTGCTCCTGGTGAGCAGGTTGGTGCCTTGCATGGCAGCCTTTGCCACCAGTGTGTGGATGTGAGTGTGAGGCATGAATTGTAAAGTGCTTTGAGTGCTGGTAGGAGTGGAAAAGTGCTGTATAAGTGCAGTCCACTTACCATATATATATATATATATATATTGTGTAAAATTGAATAGTTCATGATCAATCGTAAATCAAATGGCACAAGCTTATATTGTTCACATACACTATGAGAAAGACGGTGATGGAATCTGTCTAATGTATTGTAGCACAGGTGCCATGCAGGTGGGTTACCACTTTTGGATAATGGGCAATGTAATAAGGGGCAATGTAAAAGATGGCAAACTGCTGCAGAGCATCACTGGGAGTGGAGTTTCTGCACTGGGTATGATTAACAAGCGACGTTGAAAGAAGAGGGAGGAAGTATTAAGCTTAACAGCATGTAAACGTTTTACCAACATTTAACATGTACTGTATTAAATCAAAGTGCGAGTCTGATTGTGAAGATTTGAAAAATCTCCACATTTGTGTGAATTGCGTTCTAGTTTAATTTGTTGCATATCCTGTGTATTAAAATGTGAGAGGGATATAGGGCTCTCGAAGGAACACAGACATGCTTAGGTTCACTCAAAAACACTTTAATAAGTAATACAAAATAACCGAGAATTAACATCAGTACCAAGCTATATCGTATCGAAAGCAATGCAAAATAACCTACGAGGGATATGAAACAATGTATATATAGATGGTTTTCGAAGACGTGACTTCCTTTGTTTATCGCCGCCATGTTGGAGGTGCTCAAGGTAAACAAACTGTGTGTATTTTGTGTCTAGAATTTTTTTCACATTCATTCAGAAATGTCTTCAAAATCTTTGTTAGATTAAAGGAGTAAATTAAACAAAGTAAGTCGTCAAATATATGAAGATGAACTTAAAATGATAAGCGAAATTGATCCTTATACGATCGAAAAATCAGCCTGGACTGACGACGTGTTGAAGTGGGTGGATGTGTCGTATTATGACATCGTTAATTATTTGGTGTCCTCCAACAGCCCCTACACGATGGAGGAACTAAGATCTTTAAAAAGCCTTGATGCGTTCAACCAGTTTGTATCCGGAGGGGTTCGTGATGTAGGCGTATGCATTGTAAATGACCTTTGCGTACACACGTGCAGGGTGTTCCATTCGCAGAAGCTTAATGAGCCACCGCTAGCTCCCTGGATTATAATTCAGAAAGATGGCAAGATTTTATCAGCCCGATGCAACTGCATGGCAGGCTTGGGAGAATGCTGTACACACATTGCTGCTGTGTTATTCTTTATAGAAGCTACAGTGAAAGTGCGTGACTCCCGAACAGTAACAGATGAAGAATGAGGGAATAACATTCAGTAATTTCTGCAAAAATGATGAGTTAAGTTAGTTATATCTCTTAACTGGCAGGGCAAGGAGCAGGGGTATGATGATTACTTGTTTTGGGTATGATGGTTATGTTTTTGATCATCCACAACTGTGACCAGTTAGGCTAAATATTAAATGTTTAGTAAATCAAACTCTCCCGCTATTATTAATGATATCACCAAATTGGTGTTTCTGTCAAATGAGAGATGGGATATGAAAGTCATCTGTTACATTTTAGGTGTCAGTGTAATACCAGAAAGGGAAATGAGGGTTACTGCAGTCAGACAGAACTGAATAGGCACCATCAGAGAGGTAAAATCTGTAGTATTAGAATAATAAATTAAAGGATTTAGAAATAAATTACTGTGCAAAAGTTAGCAAGAAAATATGGTGGAATAATATCAGATCAGCAGTATTTCCATTATTTACAACCATTTGTGATGAATTTGAGATCTACTGAAGAAATCTACTGATCACCTTGGCCTTTGTGATGGTCTCGGGCAAGAGTCTGACAACAATCCAGTGAAGAATAGAAACTTTCCCTAGACAATTTGGAAGTCAGATATTCCTGTTCCTGGTGGTATGATTGTATGATGTTAATGGTGGAGATTTGCTAGTTTTGGTTCGCTAGTAAGTCGGTACGTTTACATGCACAGCTAAGTCGAGCTGAAGTTATAGCTTTACTACAGCATTTAATCTGACTACTGTCTTTGTCCCAGTATACATGCATGGGCATGGACAAATGAAGTGACACAAGCTTTAATTGAGATCTGATCTGAAGAACAGATAAAAGATCAGGATAGCATAACATAACACACTTAGATCAGAAGCAATGAAACATAGTAGTCACAAAATATTATAAGCGGTGATAATTACTCCCAAGAATCAATGAAAGGCATAAGCAGTTGCAAAGCTATTCACACTCGGACATGCCATCCTCACCCACCTTCATACACGGACTGGGGAGCCCTTTTCACTCCTGGGAGGAGACCAACACATGAGTCCCAAGAAATGCTGGGCGATATGTGCTCCAAATCCCACTTCCATCCTGGGATCCTTCCCGACCCTGCTAAACATCATAAGTGTCCTCCGTTTCCTTAAGACACGTGTCCCGCATACCGATTGATCTTCCACTTTCCCTTGAGGACGACATATGGAAGCACTTATTTTCTTCCTCAGAATGAACCCCTTGGAAAAACAAAGCAAGCATCTTTTTAACAGAGTAAGCATCCTGTAATTCAGAAATAACAGGATA